GGTATGGATATAAATTATATTGGGACAGGTCTATTTTATTTAAAAAGCAATATTTATTAAATTATTTTGATAGGCATCCCGGAAATGGGTGTCAAAATGGAGATAACAGTCGGCGATGTATTAAAAGGCAAGAAACTGGTGGGCGGTCTGTGCGGTAATTATAAGACTCGCACCGGTATTCAACAACTGGTGGACAAGTACTGCGCGAATGACCTACCGATTGACCCCATGATTACACACCGCATACCACTCGACCAAATCAATGATGGCTTTGCAAAGCTAGCGATGGGACAGACTATTCGCACAGTTACCCAGTTTTGATTAAATTGTTTGACAATAGTTTTGACACAAACAATGGAAATAAATAAAATTTTATTTAATTCACCAATAATAAAACAATTTTAATATGATTAAATAGCCATTGCGCCCACCCTATTTGACCAGGAGCTTAACCATACGCACAGCGCCGGCCGTATTAATCAAAAGCTCCAGATTATCATCGCTGGTAACGGTTCCCAACACCTCTTTGCCCTCATCGAGGAATAGGTCGTGTACTTCGTATTTAACCCCTTTCTTAGCCGCTGGGATCAGTTGCGAGACTTTGTATGACATCTGATGGCAACACAAACATTACAAATAAAATGCAGACATAATTAAAATTATATTTAATACATAAATAGCATCCCCGAAATGTTCCTTGTTCAAATAGGCCACCACATAGGACCACTCGCCATTCACTACGGGCTCCACCTGTTTCACCCATACCTGTCGGCATATACCTGCTTCGTAGGTACAGTTTTCCTATACATTCAAACACATCATAAATTATAACAAACTTTGCAAACAAATGGACAGTTAGTTTACAGTCAACATCCTCTTAGCCATAATCCCGTGTTTGTCTTGATTGACGGCAATGAGTGCCTTATTTTGTAAAATTGCTTTAAATTCGGGCTTAATTTTGCGTAAATCAGTGGATATGTATAGAGGGGACGACCACATGGACCACATGGCCATCTGAGTCCGACTTTGTTCCCAAGTTAAACCCCAATTGCCAATAGTTAGCTCATCTAGGTGTGCAAAGCATTCATTTATAAATATATCCACATGGTATATTTGAACTACTGTAGTAACTCACCAGGATCTGACCAGTGCCCGGGTCCTGTATAAATTATATAGTAAATGGTAAGCAAGTTTTATTGTGCGTTTTATGACATAAAATTATTACTAATCTGTAATCAATGTCTCTAACCGTTATGTTTAATAAACAGGTCGTTATAATCGCCGTAATATTTAATAATGGAGTCAATACTGGCCCACGAATCAGCCACGTCATTATAGGTCCTGAACACGTGGCATGTCTTAGAGATAGCATCGTAATCAGGGTTTTTGGCCCGGTATACATATTGGTAGAATGGCCACTCGCATATGAATAACATTTTATGACCTAGATAACAACCAGCATAATAAGTTAGTAATTAATTAGTTTATAAGCTAGTGTGTGAATACCGGTTGCATTCAACGCCTTTCCCATTTTAGGGTAGAGTACGTCAAAGTCGAGCGGCTCCTCCCAACAACCGTCCGATTTGAATGAGTCGACCCCCCAGTCGGCTATGGTTTGGGCGTCCAAGTCGTAGAAATCTTTGCCACCTTTGGTGTGATTATTCTGACCCGGGTACCTGAAAATAATTTAAAAGTTATTAACTAATTATACTTAATACAAGCTATAACATAATTATTATATATTTATACACTAATCTTAAATATACCCGAGCACTTAGTATTAATACAGTGGACATGGATGAAACTTATACATAAATATTATAGCACGCTCATAAACTATGACATACTTTCCGCAAGTTAAGTTGCCAACATCACCATAGATACCAAGTTTAAGACCTTTTGAGTGCATATAGTCCGCCAGCGATTTGATACCACTGGGGAAGCGTTTCTTGTCGGCCACCAGCCTATGATTGGCATCCCTTTCCATTTCACTCCAACAGTCGTCTATATTAACGTATTCATAGCCCAACTCCTTGTACCCATCGGTCACCACCCTATCGGCCATTTCCTTATATAACTGTTCATTAATACAACTCTTGGGATATTTAACACAATCTGTTTGACAGGCGA